TCGAGGTCCGTGCGCGCGCAGAAGTCCGTGCGGCCGCCGTCGCCGCGGACGGCCACGTAGGCCGGCGCGTCGCCCGACGGGTCCGGCAGCAGGAGCGCCTCCTCGAGGGCCGCGCCGCACGCGACGCACGCGCGCGCGGCGCCCGGCGCGGGCGCGCGCTGGTCCGGCAGCGGCGCGACGTCGGCCTCGGGGCAGAGCGCCAGGCCGTAGGCCTCGGCGACGAAGGTCTCGAGGAGCACCGCGCGCTTGACGACGGCGCCGAGCGCGACCTCGAGGTCCGCGCGCGCGTCCGCGGCCCAGCCCGGCGGGCCCCGCGCGCCGGCCGCGCGGGCGCACATGGCGACGCAGGCGCCGTGGACGACGGCGCCGGCGTAGCGGCCGCTGCAGCGCACGCTCGCCTCCTCGCCGTCGGGCACGGGGAACGAGCAGTCGAGCAGGAAGCGCCGCGCCAGCGACTCGAGGTCCCCGAAGAGGCAGGACTGGTACCAGCGGTCGTGCGCCAGGTTCGGCGCGCCGTCCGACGGGCCCATGACCTCCCAGAGCTGCATGCGCGCGTGCGCGGGGCCCACGTCGGCGCACATGATGCGCCAGACCATCGCGCTGACGGCAAGAGGCAGCCAGATGAGGCAGCCCGGCGATGCGACGGCACCGTGCCGAGCACGGTGCCGTCGGAGAGCACGGCCATCCACTCGTCCCCGGGGCAGCCCCATGTCGTCGCCGCGGTCCGCGAGCCGGCGCCACGTCGTCGTCGGCGCGCCCATCTACGAGCAGTCGTCGGTCTTCGGCGCGCACGTCTCCTACGCCGTGGCGTCGTGCACGGCCCAGTCCCGGGGCGCCTGCGTCTGCGTGCGGCGGCGCTTCACGGACTTCCGGGCGCTGGCCGCGTCGCTCGAGCGGCGCTACCCGGGCCTCAAGGGCCACCTGCCCGAGTCGTCCCTGCTCGGCGGCCTCTTCGCCGACCCCACGGAGTCGCGCGCGGCGCACACCGCGCGGCGCGGCCGCGCGCTGACCGCGTGGCTCGACGCCGTCTGCGAGCACCGCTACGCGTCGCGCGACGCCGTCGTCGAGGCCTTTTTGAAGGTCGCGCCCTACGGCGAGTGGGAGCGGCTGCGCGCGGCGCTCCTGCGCAGCGACGAGGACGACGCGCGCGTCGCGTGCCAGACGCTGCGCGCGGCGGACCCGCGGCGCGACGAGGACCCCGCGGGCCCGGAGAAGGCCTGGCGCCAGGCTTTGGGCGGCACGCCCCAGGGCTGGGTGCCGCCCGTCATCGACGCCGCCCAGCGCGTCGAGACCGCCGCGGCCGCCGCGGCCCGGGCCGCGCGCGCCG